CTAACTCTTATTTAACTGACTAATTGATTGTTTTGAGCTGGCAGCATCCTCTGAAAGAAGGGAAGTGAGAAGTAAGCAGCATGCATTCTGAAAAGAAAAGACAAGGATAATTGTTGATGCTACATAAGAAATCTTAAATGTATAGTTAACATTAACCCTTTTCACTGTTTCTTTTATAGTATGTCTCAGTGGAGTCAAGTCCAGCAGTTGGAAATAAAATTTCTGGAGCAGGTAGACCAGTTCTATGATGATAACTTTCCCATGGAAATCCGGCATCTACTAGCACAATGGATAGAAAGCCAAGATTGGTAGGATTAAATGTTCTTCTCTGCTAAGGTGTGATTGATGGACACATAGGGCGTGTCCACACATGCAAGCATATGCACTTGCAGCAGCTCAAACAGAAGCAGTGCAAATTTGAGCTGGGGCTTTTTGCCTCAGCGCACGTGCTCGGACATGCACTTTGTTGAGGAGCAAATTGTGCCACTTGGGGCAAAATAACCCTGCCTGGCTCCTTCTGGATCTGCAGCCATGGGGAGCTAGAACCCGGGGCCAGCACCTGTGTTGTCCCCGTCAGTATAAAAAGCTACCCTGGCAAGTAGCTCAGGGCTACTAGCTCTCAGGAGCTTCTGGGGCCCAGCCAATTAGTACCTGGGGACACTACCCCTTGTGCCATCTGGACTGTTGAAGCAGCCCTGAGAGTTCCCTGCACCCTCTACCCACTGCAGGGGTCTGGCAGTGGGGGCTGCTGCCTGGCTGTGGGCTGCTCCCCACCTGCCAGACCTGGATGGGGACTGCCCAGCCAGTACAGGCATGTGCCCCTCTGGGCCGGCTGCCAGTGGGCTGTGGCTGTAGAGTTGGCCTCTGTGTGGCATTACTGCCATTTGTGCCCCCTGCCCAGCCATCTGGGCAGGTATCGCCCAGAGGATGATCCAGGTGTGCTGGCCTGCTTTGAACTGTCAAAGCATGTCCTCTTGGCCCCATTTGGCCAGGAGGTCAGCCACAGCCAGCTGGGTCCAAGGTGCCAGCTCTGAGCAGGCAGGGTCCTGGGGGCCCTGCCACTGGCCTCCCTAGCAGGAATTCTGGTGTTCCCAATTGGAAAACTGAAAAATCCCTGATAAAAAAAATCCCGAAGTCACTCTGTAAAATACCCAAAATCTATGTTCCTCCATAAGTAAAACAAAAGACCACTATAAAGAGAGAGAGAGAGAGAGAGAGAGTGAGACAGAGACAGCAATCAGTTGGGCAATGTTTTATTGATATATCTACAGTGTTAAAGCATGTCTCTTATCTTAATAATAGACTGAACTCAAAAAAGGTTTAATGAATTCATGAATACATGAATGTATATTTTGCTGCCCTCCCACAGGGGCTATGGCCCCCACACAGGGGCTACGCCCCCTGCAAGGTCCACATGCCCCACCCCAACCCCCCAATTGTTGCCCTACC